TAGTAAGGCCAGGAGCCCCTAGTAGCGTCCTTGCTCCTAGTAGCGATGCCAGGAGCCCCTAGTAGACTTCCAATTCCCAACCCACATCCTCACACCGCGTGCACCTGCATGTGCAGAACCACCTCTCGAACTAACTCGCCAGACACAGCGAGGGTCTGCGGGCTGACAGGAAAGCCTGCCCCAGCAATTAGCCAAGTCGCAAAGACAGTCACGGCCATGTCACTGCATCACTACTCTCATTCATTAAGGATGCCGAGCTCCAAACTATGATAAGCACCAGTGGTGAGCAGCAATGGTGTCAAATACAAGGGCAAGGACACCTCAACAATTCCGACCCGAAATCTTCAGAACTGGGCACCCGCTCTATCCGGCTTGAGCCGTGTAATGATTTGTGAGGCGTGCAAACCCACCCACTCTGAGGCACGAGTGCCAGCTTGCTGTTCCGAGCTTCCCTACTGCTGTAAGCCCAACCACCAACTGCCTATCTGGGATGCGCCGCCTTGAAAAGGCCCAAATGCGCAGTTTGAATGCAACGCATGAAAAGATGAGTCGCTTTTTCGCACACTTGAAACTGGGCGCGAGGCAAGCCGTAGCGGTACATCAAGATCCCAAGGAGCTTTGCGAGCTCCTGCAACTTCGTTGTCGCTTGGGTGTTTTTCTTTGAGACCTAAACAACACCCCAAAGTCCTGTGCCATTTTAAGCCGTCCCACAGCTGTGGGACGAAATCTCAACCTGGGTGTGTCCAGATCTTTCGATTGGAAGCATCAAATTCACCTCAAATCTTTTGGACCCCAAAACAGTCCGGATGCGCTTCCTGCTGTGGATATCTGTCCCTTTTGTTGGAAGTGGACCTTTCCTGCATCATGCTTTTGCTGGGTTCCTGGCCGATTGATATAGAAAAAATATAGGCTATCATCATAGCCCGGTCCTGCAAAGGCTGGCCCATTCCAAACTTCTACAGTAAGTGTTTGCATGGTGCCCACTAGTTCTCTCCACACTTGCACTCCTGCACTGTAGACCACCAAAAAAAGCAAGGGGCCCCACAATGCAGGGTTGCCCAAGAAGTTCTGCAGAAGTTCGGACCTGGAAATGATCTTCAAAACTTAAATGAAATAAGTCGCTGAAAGAAACCATCTTGAACCGAACCTGGTAGAACATCTGAGAAATCCCCTGCAAAAGACTCTCAGGCAGAGGCAATCCGCTTGTGTGACTCAAAGGAGCAGGAATTGGCACGGGGTTCTGCGCGGCCCAAGACCTGCTTTGGTAATGGATAGTGCAATGCAATCACTCTCTGTATGGAGCATAGAGACAAATTAGAAAACACGAGGAATCTCAGTGGACAAGAAAGAGTCCACTAACGTTCATCCTCACTTAGAATACGAAGCTGAAGGACCAGCCCCCATAGCTAGCTCTTCTTTGGGATAGATCATCCACACTGATGTCGTCAAGACTTGGCTCAGGGCTCGGCCTGGTCTGCTCCGACAAAACGAAGGCCATTTCCTAGACAGTTGCATCAATCCCACATGTGCCTTTCAGAAAGAACCGAGGCACAAGCTCCGCCAGCCTGCTCACAACGACCTTCCGGCAACAATGCTGACAAAGAACTGAATCCTACACTCAAATACTCCGCTAGAGTTGCTCGTCACAAGTTGGGTTGCATAACGGTTCTCTCTCCATGTCGTCCAAGTCAGGTTCATTTGGCCTATTCCTGCAAGCATCAGGATCGGTGCGCACGCGTAGACTCGCAGCCTGGCGCATTCCAAATCCGCCAGACACATGGAGTGAGGCGCGACCAAGACAAGGCAGTCTGGCGCAGACCGTGAGCCCATCTTTCCGATCAGAAGGCTGCTACAAAACCTTAGGTACAGCCAGAGTTGTGAAAGGTGTGGAAAGTAGATTGCAGCATCTTGCAGGTGAGAAAGGGACCTGCATTTCACACGCCTGCAATTTTAAATGTCTCTGGGACTCAGACTTGCTCTTGTCATTTGTTTGTTCGAATGAATCAGACATAACATAACGCTCAACCGAATCTCTACCTCTCGATAGTCTGGAAAAAAGAAGCCTGCTTCAGGTATGTTGCTTACATCGCAATCGCAACTTTTTTAACACTCCGGATCTATCCGGTCTCTTGGCTCCCGGCGCACTGAAAAGGGCTGCGCAGGTCTTTAGGCCGAAGAAATCCCCAACCACGGCCGAGACCTCGTCACGGCCTCGGTCCAGAAGTTGGAAGCCGAAGCCAATGATGAGATTGACAGGTTGGGAAAAGAAAAAGAGAGGCAAGAAGGAGCCTTGTTTTAGAGGCCTTTACCTTCTTGTTTCCTCTATTTTTCTTTACTCCATTAGGAGACCCCAATTTCTGGAGGGACCTTGGCGCAGAATCGTTCCTAATATATGCTATTCTCACTAGCGCAGACTGGTGCGGGCGGTAGGAAGGATGGGTGCCTGGATTGATTTGCAAACGAAATGAGTTGAAACCTGCACACAAGTTGTATCAGAGCAGGGAACAGTTCGGAAGCATATTGATGTTTTGCATCAGTTCCTTGTCAGATTCTGGGTCGACAAAAATGCTTGAAAGCTGCAGCCCTTTTGGCTGAAGCAAGCCAAAAGACGGTACGCGGCTCACTTCGGATAGACCGTACGAGTCATGATCTCGTATCCATTCCTGAGCACTTCAGCAAACAAGAACCAACGGGCTCAACAAGTTCGCTGCAGACCAAGGATCCAGTTGATGGAGGTGATCTTGATGTTGCTCTTCGACACCAACAAGTCATAAAATCCATATTGAGCCTCTCCGTACCAATCCTCAGGTCGACTCTCACAGTTGTAATTACCACATCTATAGTCCTGCGGATTCTAATCGTTCTGCTTGAAGCATCAAACGACACCACAGCTCTCCATCTCTTTTGATTCCAGAACACCAAAACCTGTTTGCAAAACCTCCAAACTCCGGTGCCCCATTACATCCTTGCTGTAAGACCCCTGGAAAGGAAACCAGCGAATACTCAAGGCATGATCCTAGTATCCGGCATCAAAGATTAAAGACCAAAAAAAGGCTTATATACCTTTCCTGGCTTTAAAAACAGGCGTACCCCGGCTTGCCCCCAGCAACAGCTCTTCCATCACTCCTAAGCAATGCCCGCACTTCCGACTCTTCCCAGGCCCGATCCCCACTGTTTTGCACCCTCTGGTCTCCTGCTTCCCCAACCTACTAAGGATGACGTCCAACCTACTAGCAAAAGGACGGCTTCCAACCTAGAAGCGATGGCCACCAATCTAATAGCAAAAGGAACCTAATAGCCATGGGGCTCCCAACCTAGAAGCAAGAGCCTCCAACCTAGAAGCGATGGCCTCCAACCTAGAAACGATGGCCTCAAACCTAATAGCAATGGTCTCCAAACTAGAAGCGATGGCCTCCAACCTACGAGTGATGGCTTCCAACCTAATAGCAAAAGGAACCGAATAGCCATGGCCTCCAACCTAGAAGCAATGGCCTCCAACCTAGAAGCGATGGCCTCCAACCTAGAAGCGATGGCCTCCAACCTACAGTATATATATATAATAGCGATGGCCTCCAACGTAAAGCAATGGCCTCCAACCTAGAAACGATGGCCTCGAACCTAATAGCAATGGTCTCCAAACTAGAAGTGATGGCCTCCAACCTAAGAGTGATAGCTTCCGACCTAATAGCAAAAGGAACCGCATAGCGATGGCCTCCAACCTAGAAGCGATGGCCTCCAACCTTTAATAGCGATGGCCTCCAACCTATATATACTGTATATATAATAGCGATGGCCTCCAAGGTAAAGCAATGGCCTCCAACCTAGAAACGATGGCCTCAAACCTAATAGCAATGGTCTCCAAACTAGAAGCGATGGCTTCCGACCTAATAGCAAAAGGAACCGAATAGCGATGGCCTCCAACGTAAAGCAATGGCCTCCAACCTATATATTAATAGCGCTGGCCTCCAACGTACAGCGATGGCCTCCAACCTATATTTGATAGCGATGGCCTCCAACGTAAAGCGATGGCCTCCTGCCAGGAGTCCCTCTTGTTGTGAATGTTTGGCGTGGCCTCTGAGGAGATGCCGCCACCGCCACCGGTCACGAAGCAAGTCAGACCGCCTAGCCTGGAGAAATTCACCAGGAAACGGTCGAAACGGTCCAACTGTATTGTGAAAGAGAATTTGGGGTGGAAACTCCTCGGGTGCAACAAAGCCAACTGCTCGAGCTTCACTAGCTGGTCAAGTTTACGTGATCAAACAAATGATTTCTACAAGGTGCCCCTATTGGTATCTTGGACACATTCTTGAGTTGTTCTGTTTTGCCTGACCTATGATGGACTCTGTCCGACCACCACCACTGTTTTCAACCAATTTCGACCGGGCCTGTTGGGGCTCCAGAGTTCTTGGTCATGCCGATGTCCGGTGACCAACAAGTCCAAGCCGTGCCTACAAGGCGAGAAAAATCGGAGAATCGCTGGACCAAGCTGTTGGAAGCGACGCAGCAATTGTATCTGACAAGGCAGTTCAACTTCGGGTTCGAGTCGGAGGCTGATGTGGTTTCGAGAGGGAGGGGGGTGCTAGTGAAGCCCTAAGCCAGAGCCAACGAAACCCTAGAAGTCAAGCCCTAAGCCAAGCCCTATCCAACCTCAAAAACATGAAGAAGAAACCCTAAAGAAGCGAACCTGCCCGAACGCCCCGAACATCACTCTACTAGTTCGAGTTTGAGGCCTTCTATGCTTCCAAGTTTGAGTTCTAACTGTTCCGCTTCCAATTCGAGTTCGAGGTCAAGTTCAAGGAGGGTAGACTATGCTCAGCCAAGAAGCTGCTGGTGCATGCCGACCTTGGGATTCCATTTCTGTGCATACAACAGCATCCAACCACTGCTAGGCCAAACTAAATGATAGAAATGGTGGTGAAACCTGTTATCTTCCTCAAACTCTTTGAAGGCGCTACACTTCAGACGGCCACAGCCTCTGCTGTCAGCCTGCGGCCCAGATGCCCAGAAGCTCGACTCGTGACCACAGGGGAAGTGAGTCAAAGCCACTTGCCAGTCTGCCGTGGACTTGCTTAGACCCTCTGCCAGCCAGGCCTGGCGTTGCAAAGGCGACGCAAAAATTTGGCGATGCCAAAACAAACACAAAGCTGTGGACCAACGGCTTCATTCAAAGGCACCAAATGCCCCAAGCTCGTTCACACATCTGTGGAATTGCACTTAAGCAGTCAGAATCAAGTATCAAATCAAAATGTATCAAACATCATACATGGCCAGCTCCGGTGCTGTCAAACCTACTTCTGCCACCTACCACGCATCGAAATGCATCACTACAAATCACATTAGCATTGACAAGCCCCCGCAGCCGCGTGAAAGGAACCCGGCCACAGCTGAACATGTGGCACCTGGCCTGGTTGGCCGCCCAAAGGTCCCAGAACCACTGCTTGCAAGTGGCCAGTGATTCAGGGCCACCTTCACTTCATCAAACATGCGCCGCGATGCAAACGAAGTAAGTAGTGCAAACTGCGGTGTTTTAAAGGCCGCTCTGCCCCCCTACTACTTACTGTAACTAAGTAAGAGCTAAACAAACCTGCTACTGCTACTAGCTAGGACGCAGGATAGCTCACGCGTCTTCAAGGAAGCTCCCCCTGAGGGCACTATTCCTTTAAGCTCACAAGAAACAATGAGACACGGTTTGTATGATGTGTTTCTGTAGCTCTCGTCTTTTAGAGCCTTGCGCGCAAGTTCAGAGCCAGCCTGCAGCCGCGCAATTGGCTCCAGGAGGATTGTGAGCTGCTCCGCAAATGTTGTGTTCCGAGTCCTTGTCTAAGTCTTTTGCATCCATGGCGTTGGAGTCCACCATGAAAATGTCCATAGTAAATCCAGCATCTGGGAAGTCCACGTGCTGGCCTAGGCTTTCCAGCAAAGCCAAGTCCCTGAAACAAGAATCCTTCTACTGTAATCATTACTTTACAGTCATTGCCTCTTCAAGGAAAAAGTTCAAAACAATCTGTGACTGCTTCACTTAGCAAAGCGTGGTCACTCCAATATGCCGCAGGCAATCTCCATCGTGCACTCTTCCAGGTGTAGGCAATTTGCTGATCCCAGCCATTGTTGAAAACACGGCCTCCCCAGTCATGATTCCCCAGGACGCTCAGCCAGACCTGGCAAAGAAGTGTTCTGTCTTGTGAAGGGAAGGAAAGATGACCAATCTCAAACTAGAATAAACTGTTCCTTAAATCTTCAGTCCATCTCTCAGAACAAAGCTGGATGTCTCTATATGATTTCTAATTGTATCCGAGCTTGCTTAAGCTGAGAAAGCCGAATACAATTTGAACTCGCTTGTCAGTCCCCACCTTGCCGCTCAGGCCTTGCCCCTGGTAGATTCCCTCAAAGATCTGGTCAAACTGATGGTGCGCCGTGTAGCTCAGCTCGTTCATGGGGGTTCCACAGTTCTTCTCAATGCCACCCCAATAGAAGTTGTCTCCAACATTCAGGATGAAGGCAGGATCCTCGATGAAGGCAGGATGTTGGAAACTTACAACAGGTCAAATGGCGCTCCAATCTCTTCTTCACATGCCTGCATTTGTTCCATCAAATGCAGTAGAACGTAAGGAACCAGAGTTGAACATGAAACGCTGTAACGCTGCAACTTGACCCGTACACGGCATTTCATCTCATATCAAGTCCTTCTTCGCAGCATGCATCTTCATGGCTGAGGCAACAAGGGTTTGTGGCTGGTCATCAATGCCCTTCACGAAGCCACATCCAGGGTCGCAGCCAACACCCATCGTCGTGTAGCATCTGACAAAGGCCTTGTGGTCGCAGAGCTCCTTTTCGGGCTTCCGTGGCACTCGAGTCCTTTTGAAACCAAAAACCGTGTGACAAATGTGGTTTTGCACAAAAGAAAAATGCTCCTTGGTGTGTTGCTTGTTCCATCGCGTTCGAGGAAAGACGCTTGGTCCGGACTTGGCACCCTGTGGATATGCGATCAACTCCGGCCTGCCCTCAATAGGCCTGAGGGAACCATCCATGCCTCCCCAATCACCTGAGCGGAGCTATGGAAAAGCATGGTGACCGCAGGCTTCTACTAATTGCATCAACGATGTGTCCTTTGAAAATTCTACAACGGCCAACCATCAACCAAACATGACTTCATCGAGAGGCCAATGGCAAAGACGTGGAAGGGGCCCACACCAGACACTGTCATATCATCC